TCGCATTTTGCAAGTAATAGTGTGTATCCGGAAGTGCGGAATAATAGTCACTATTGGTGTGTCAAAAATGGATGCGACTACTTTAGGGTTAAAGATACTATAGGTGCAAAGTAGTAAAAAAAGTAGTAGAAAAATACTACTCATGGAAAACACATGGCACATAGAATTAATATATTACAAAAATAATTAATGAGTTGGTTATGTGAACAGAACATGAGGTAACCTATCTTAGTTACTTGGACTGAAATAAGTAAATCAAAGAATGGAAAAGTAAAGTATTGTTGAAGTGTGTAAACATTTATTTTCCACCTGAGCGCTTACAAAGGAGTCTTAAGATCTTTAGCTATGGCATATCAAGTTTTGAAAAGTACCACTACTTGAGAGATCCCATTTGATATTTCTTCTCTATATCAAGTGTTAAATAAATAAACTAGAAAGAGGCCTTAATTCTTCATAAAGTTGTTGAAGTACTTTTTTTTATTTTTTCAAATAAAGGGTGGGGGAGAGTGGGAAAGTATTTGTGGATAAATACCTATAACTTTGGATTGGATTAACCGATTTTAACGAAATTAGTGTCATTAAAAAGAGTGTAGATGAATTAATTTACGTCGACTACAAAATAATTGCATTTAATTTTAATTGTCAAAGGTAGAGGGTACTTTCGAATAGAAAAAATTAAAATTTGTTTTTCTTTAAAATATTTAATAAAATCAACTATTTATAGTAAACTATAATGAAACTGGATTAAATTCGTAACAAAATGGCGCAAACCGCATGTTAATAGCTTTTGTTGAACTTGAGATATGAATAAAAACGCATAAACATAAGTAAGTTTAGTATTGACTCACCCTGTATTATAAATTAAATTAAAAAATAAGTCAGTAGGTACTTTCAATTTTTTTTATAGCAAAAGAATTTTAATGTTGATACCTATTTTGACCATTGTTATTTTATATGATTAAAAATAGTTTTTTCGAAAGTGTTATATTATAATCCGAATTGAAGATTGTACTTTTTTCAATAGATAATAATATTGGTAATATTAGTAATTAATTATGAGTACTAATAATTCGTGATGAGTATATCAAATGAAGAATTGTATGATATGATTGGAGTTTATTTCGAATGTCACCAAAATGCCGGTATTGCCTTACGTATATATTCTGTAAGATATCATGACAAGAGACATTAATGCAAAGAAGCATTTGAAAGAAAGGCAAGAAGATTAAGAGAAATTGGTAGTTTTCATCGTCCTTGTTCTAAACGATGTAGCAGAGGTATGACCGAATATAATTCAATTAATGTTCTTGCTTTAATTCAACAGAATCGACATATAAGTAGTCGTCAAATCTCTATAGAAATAAACATACCCAAAACTACTGGTCTAAGGATTTTAAAACATCACAGGTTGGTTTTTCATATTATAAAGTAAACGTTTAGGTCAGAAACTTGGAATCTCCTTTAAACTTTAGATTCAACTGTTAAAACATTTAGTTTTAATGATCGAGATGTTTGTGTGATCTTTCACATATTTAATTTTAAGATATAGTAAAGGGTGAGTCAATACTATACTTATTTATGTTTATGCGTTTTTGTTCATATCTCGAGTTCTACAAAAGCTATCAACATACGGTTTGCGCCGTTTTGTTACGACTTTAATTTAGTTCCATTATAATTTACAATAAATAGGTATTTCCGTTAAACATTTTAGAGAAAAATAAATTTAAATTTTTTCTATTCAAAAGTACCCTCTACTCATGATAATTAAAACTAAATTCAATTGTTTTATAGTAGGTATAAATTAAAGAATCTATACTATTTCTAATGACACTAATTTTGTTAAAATCGGTTAATCCAAACCAAAGTTATAGGTATTTATCCACAAATACTTTCCCACTCTCCCCCACCCTTAATTAGAAAAAAAAAGTGCTTGAACATCTTTGTGCGGAATTTAGGCCTTTTTCCAGTTTACTTATTTAACGCTTGGTATAATTGGGCATATTTCACAAAAAACTGGGTTTAAAATTTCTCTTCACAGATTACGCCCCCTAGCGGTTAACCCAGTAACTAGATACTTATTTCCAGCGATTTCTTTGACCACTTTTACAAATGAATTTTTTCTCCTAAAGTTATAACATGAATAGTTTCTGATATATAGCCGAGAGATCGGCTTATTGGACCACCCGGTACATTTGACTTTACAAAAAAAATACACTAAAAAAATTGGTTATGGTATGGAAGTTAGAACCCGACTATTTGGTTGGAGTTGAAACAGCAGATAATAATACAATAAATAAAAGTAAATATCGAAACTAATTTGACGTATTAAACTCATTGCGAAAAAAAGTGCTCCAAAACTAATTCGATTCTGATACTACAGTTGTCACGACAAAGCATAAACACAAATACATATGTCTCAGTAAAATAATATAAACCATAAATATGTATAAATAAATTATAAAAAAAAAGAAAATTATAAAGCCTAAGATTTCGTATTTGGCGAAACTAAATTTTAATTTTTATCAATGGGCTTTCTGCAAACTACAAAGCAGAGAGATTTATGATTTAGCCGACAAGAGAATCTACAATTTGCATTCCACATGTGGTTCATTATGGCAAAAATTATTAGTGAATTAATTTGTAGTACTAGAAACCGAGTAAAGAAATAAATAAATATAAAACCGTCTTTCTGTTTTCATCATCATCGTCAATGGTGCTACAGCCCTATGAAAGAGCCTCGACCTTCCCAAGTCTATTACGCCAGGCAGTCCTATCCATTGCCAACCGTTGCCAGTTTGCTGCGCCTATCTTTCTACCATACTCATCTACACTATCCTTTCATCTGAGTTTTGACCTACCCCTTTTTCTGCTTCCCACGGGTTGTGACATAAGGATTCTTCTAGGAGGGTTGTTCTGCTGTGATCTTGATAGATGTCCTGCCCATTTTAATCTTCCTATTCTTATAAGAGATACCAAGTCTTTACCACCAAATATTTGTTTATATCTGTGGTATACCTCGTAGTTGTACCTCCTCCAAACTCCATTTTCACAGATGCCACCAAATATTCCTCTCAGGATCCTTCGTTCAAATATAAGCAAAAGCTCTTTGTCTGCCTTGGAGATGGTGCATGTCTCCGATCCATATGTCAACACTGGCTGTATAAGGGTTTTGTATATAGTTATTTTTGTTTTTTGGCTTAAGTTTCTACTTCTCATATGTCTACTCAGTCCAAAATAGCATATGTTTGCCATTACTATCCTTCGCTTGATTTCTTCCGTTATGGCGTTCTCTTTGGTGATCAGGGAGCCTAAGTATGTGAATTTGTCAACCACTTCAAAGGTAGAGTTATCAACCGTGAATTGGGGACCGATGTTCCTGGCTCTATTGTTGGGTTTTGATGCCATCATCTTAGTTTTCTCCTCATTTACTTGCAGGCCCATAGATTTTGAGGCATTTGAGAAGGTGGTATACATTTCTTCTAGCTTGCGTGTTGTGCGGGCAACTAGGTCCACATCATCTGATTATGCCAAAATTTGGAATGATTTATTAAAAATATTTCCTCTGTTGTCTATTCGGGCATCTCTGATCGTCTTTTCCAGTGCTATGTTGAAAAGGAGACAAGCCAGCGCGTCTCCCTGTCGCAGCCCAACATGCGTTCCAAACGCCTGTGATTGTTTGCCCTGTATTTCGACTTTGCAAACCACATTACACGTTGTAGCCTTAACCAATCTTATCAGTTTATCGGGGATGTGGAATTCATTCATTGCTTCATACAATTTATTTCTTAGGACACTATCATAGGCAGATTTGAAGTCTACAAAAAGATGGTATGTATCGATATTGAATTCATTGGTTTTTTCCAGTATTTGCCTAAGCACAAAGATCTGATCTGTTGTTGATCGACCAGGCCTAAAGCCACTTTGATATTCCCCGAGAAGTTCCTCTGAATATGTACTTAGGCGACCATATATGATCCTCGAAAATATTTTGTATGCTGTATTAAGGAGGGTTAATCCCCTATAGTTTCTACATTTCAATTGGTCACCCTTTTTGTGTAGCAAGCAAACGATTCCAATACACCACTCTTCCGGGATTTGTTCCTCATTCCAGGCTCTCAGTATTATTTTATATATTTAATTAGTCACAGAAGCACCTCCACATTTGATAAGTTCCGCGGATATACCATTACTTCCTGGAGATTTATTGTTTTTTAGGTGTTTTATTACATCTCGTACTTCTTGAATTGACGGAGGTTCTAATGGTGAATTGTTGCTTGCTCCTTCGGGTGGTTGATTTGGATCTGGATCTTCTACTTCTATAGTAAGTAGTTCTTTAAGTGTTCCACCCACCTTTTCAGTACTTCTTCTTTTGTATTTAGTATATGCCCCTCCTTATCCTTACATAGTCTGAGCCTTGGTTTGAATTCCTTTCTTGCGTTATTCAGAGTTTTGTAGAATTTTCTTGTTTGGTTTTCCTTTTTTAATACCTCAAGTTCTTCCAATATTCTATTTTCGTGAGTTCGCTTTTTCCTTCTATGAATGCACTTCTCTTTTTTTCTGAGATCTTTATATTTTTGCTGTTTTTCTCGGGTTCTTCTTTGCTGCATCAGTTTATATGCATCGTTCTTTCTGTTTTACAAAAGAAAAATTTTCCTTAATATCAACAATAGGTGATTGGTTAATATTTATAAGAAGATATGAGTCGTAACTCTGACATCATAGTCAGAGACCCGATAGTAGTAAATAAGCCGACTAAGAAAAACTATTCAAACTTCTTTTGCTTTTTAACATTGCGTGCAATACAACCATTTTAAGATTGTCTGTCGCGGGTCAGTCCAAGATTATTATTAACTTCAACAATCGATCCTATTTTAATCATATTTGATTGCTGTCATAAACAACAAAGTTAAATGTATGCTAGTAACTTAGTTTGTACTTAAATAAGTAAAGTTAATATTAAAACAAATAGTTTAGATGAATAAAATGTTTGTTCTTTGCAGGTTTACCTGATGGAATGACAATCGATACAGAAGACAATCTTTACATCGCCTTGTTCGGAGGAGGTTCAGTAATTAAAGTTAATCCGGCAACTGGAAAACTTTTGAAGGTAATCCAAAAGTGTATTAAACATTTTTTTATTGTTTTTACTTTTGCTTAATTAAACAGTCTTCTTGATAAGTTAGCGAGATACCGAAATTAATCCATTATAAGGAAGTCTAATTCTCCTAGATTCAAGCCTAATACCCGTCAGAGAAATGTTTAAACTTGTTGTTTATTTCAGTCAGTCGGTGGATGAGTATAACGGTAAAAATAAGTTCTCATGGCTTAGTAAATCATTGATACCTAAAAGGAGGTACCGTTGCGTCGGTAGGTCTTGTTAGAGGATGCTCCCTATTTCTAAAATATTTTTTTTGGGTCTTCGCTCGATAATTTTTGTAGTATAGATCTTACTGTGCTTTTTGGTAATATGTTTTGTCAAAATCTACTTTAGGGTGAATATTTTTTGCACAGCATCTTGTATTCTGGTTGTTAAAACTTTAGACTTAAATATTAAAACTTTCGAGCAACCCCGTATATTACACCTCAAGTTAAGTACACCCCTTGAGAGAGGATGCAAGTAGCGGAGGAGAAGTCAGTCACAGTCCACGCTCAACTCGAGTCTCAACACAACACCAGTACGCCAAGGACGCTATTTTTACATTGATCGTTTATAAATATTTTAAATGTGCTATTTTTTACTTCAATACAGTTTTAGTTTAAGTGATTTGTTTTTGTGTATTATTACGTGAAATTCCAATAAGATTCAACCTACATCCCAACACTGGTTCTTCTTGAGATTTCTGCATTTAGAATCCGATTTCTTAGAGAAGCGACCAATATTGATCCTTTCGTGGTACATATATTGTAAGGTTCGTAACTAAGTAACTAAGTTTTGTCAAGGTTAAGGTTTCCATACAGTATGTGAGCAAAAGCAGAAAACTGAGAACAAAAAGGCAGTCAATGATGATCCTACTTTCTGGTAGAGTCGCATGTTTGATTATCTCTACTACTAATTATTCCATGTCCCAGATATTTAAAGTAGTTATCTTTATTTTGAGAAAGATTAAATGTAAATAAAGATAATGTTACAACTAAAAGACATAAAACAATATGAAGTAATAGCATAGGGAAATAAGCTTTTTTTCGTGTCATTCATCCGGCCAGGCAAACGATAATTATTTTAAGTAGTATGGACCTCTACAACAAGAACTTATATGTTTGCTGTAGTCGAAGTTCTGGACTTACATAATTAGTTATTAAAAAAAATAAAGTCAAAAAACCGTAAATTTGCGCCTTTTTCATGTATAAGTAAAAAGTTAAGCATTTTAAATAAATTTGAGAGAAACTAACTTATAAATCATATAAAAACCTTCAAAATAGCCTTTTTTTAATGTTGCTATCCTTATTTGTTGCTTAGAAAATTGCAAAATAAGTCAAACATTTCGGTTTTTTATAAATGTTAATAACTGTTTTAAAAACAAAGGTATAAAATTTATATTACATAAAATATTCAGTCTTGTTGTGCTTAAAGTATAGTCAAAATTTAAAATTGATTGGTCAAAAAGTTTAAAAGTTATTTATTTTTTTTTTTGTCACAAGATAAGTCAGAAAATTATGAAGTTATAGTAATTATACGAGTAGCTTCTAAAAGAAGAAGATTTATTTCATTAATATTAAAAAAAATAAAGAAAAATAATTTAAATATTGCATAATAATTTTGGAAAAAAGATGTCGATTTTTTGATTATAAACAATTAGAATAACTTTTTAATCATTGCCAGAAAAAAAAATATTTTTTCATATTTAGAAAGCCTGCATTTATTTACAAATTAAAAGAACAGTTGGCCTAGGACAATTTAATACGAAGTTAGTCCATGTTTTTAATTGATAGTTGATTGTTCAACTAAAAAATTTTATTAGGCTCATTTGAAAGAACGTGCTTTAAATTTTTAATGTGAAAAATTCGAGAAATATTGCATTTTAATGGAATCGTTCACAGAGCTTCAAAAATGTGATCCTCAAACTCGGCTGGCTTTGAAACTTGCGGTAGTTGTGGAGAGGAAAGGAGTTGTTATCTGTATCTCTGGTTCGTGTGTATGGATTTCGATGTTTCTTTTTCATTTGGATGTACTTGTTGCGTACATTACAAATATGTACAGCTGATTCCTAAAAAATCTGATACGACTCTTAGTAAGATTTGATCATATTGAGTAGTGTATTTGATTGGTCGGACATTATATTATATTTATTTTGACAGTCAAATAATAGAATAAACAAACAAACAACAAACAATTGATACTATATCTTAACAGAGGTAGCAAAATATTTAAACATATACAGAACCACAGTTTTTCTATTTAAAAAATGGAGGGAACAAGAAACTGTCGAAAAAATGCGATGGTCTGGAAGACCAAAACTATATTAAATTTAGGTTAGTAACAATAAAATTCATATTTTATGATAACTACACCAGCATTGATAACAGCGTGTAGTCTTTGGTCCATTTGCGTGAAAGGAACTATGATATTGTCTTCTTCAGAGAGCTCTTCTCAAACCTGTTATAATGCTTGCTACAGCTCTTCTGCATTTTGAAGTATAAAATAACGCTGATGCAACCGTTTTATATTAACCGCCACAAATTCTAAATTGGGTGTATATCTGGACTGTAGCTAGACCATGGTAAGGTTTCGATGTTGTTATTCTGGAGCCAATGATTTATTATATTTGCAGTGTGAACAGGACAATTATCTTGTTGGAGAATAAAAAAAGCAAACAAAATTAATAATACCATGTATTATCTATACACAAAGTTACTCCTGTCTTAAAAAGAAAGGGGCTAAAATTCAAAAAACCCGACGCTGCTAACTTCTCTAATAAGACAAGTTCCTAATACTTAGATTCCTAACATCAGACAACTTATAAAGATATAAACGATAAAGAAGAGACAATAACATTTACCATGAAAAAGGAATATAATAACACGCTACCTTTCCTGGATGTTTTAATCTCTAAGAACGATACTGGATATGAGACTCAGGTGTATAGAAAACCAACACACACCAATTGATATTTAAATTTTAAATCAAATCACAATATTAATGTAAAAAAGGGAATAATTAAATCCTTATACGATAGAGCCAAAATTACTTGTTCTAACGAAAATTCGTTCTTGGAGGAGAAACATTTGTTAACATCTGTTTTATTAAAAAATGATTATCCTTTATCGTTTAAAAATAAGGAATTTTCAACAATCGATCGAATAGAACAGAACAACTTAGAACGAGATTCTTCAACATACACAAGGAATAATACGAGGAAAATAACAATACCGTACATAAAAGGATTATCAGAAAAACTTAAAAGGATAGGAAATAAATTCAACATGTCAACAACATTCAAAACAACAAACACGTTGAGATCTATTTTGTCCAAAACCAAACCTAACAATGAACAAGAATTGACAAAGAATTGCATTTATAAAATACTTTGTGAATGCGATCAGTTTTATTTAGGTGAATCATTAAGACAATTAAATGTTAGAATAAGTTAACATCAATCTTATATTAAAAATAGAGAATTTGATAGATCTCAAATATGTAAACACGCATGCGATAATGAACATAGGGTTCAATGAAATAATTCAAATGTAGTCCTAGAAGAAACGGATGGTAAAAAAAGAAAAATCAAAGAAGCGGCTCTAATTATGCTAAATGAGGCCAATTATGTCGCAAATTCCTCGGCAGAATGTAGTAGGATCTGGTTACCAATATTGAAAGAGGAAGTTATTAATAAGAAAATACCAGTATTAGTAAGTCAGTAACATATAGAGGATACATTATTTATGTTTTTTAAATAACGTAACATATAAAATCAGAATTTTGATGTTTGTTGAAGGTAAACTAAATTCACGAACAAATGCTTACAATGTCGGGATAGTATTATGAGTTTTTTTTTCCTGATTTTTCCCTCATAATTTACTATGGAATCACTAACAGGAGAATTTTACTGTCATCATGTCATGTGTTTGTCTTTTTAAAGACGAATTACATGCTATGATTTTTTTTTCTGCCGGATATTCTCAAGTTAAAGTTGATTTCATGTAATCGAATGAACTATCTTATAAGTAAAGTCGTCCCAGGAGCGCAACTCAACAATATTGGCAATATCATTTTAAAGTCGTCTACTTTAAAATGCATAATGTATGTCTGAATTGTCAATATAAATGAGTCAGATAAAATTAAATTATTAGAAGAATTTTTCACTATGTAACAAAAAACAAAATTTGTTTAATTTACTGTTTGTATTTTGAGAACGATTTCCGAAGAAAATTGAAACGTCAATAAACGTATTTTTATCTTTAATTGTGGCTTATTCCCAGTTAAATAGTAATTAATCAGACAACTTTGAGACAAATAAATGATGAAACTGAATAACGCACAGAAGTACACATTTAAGTAGTATTCTATTCTTGTCAACTGGTTCCAGCATATCATATAAACTTCAGGATTTTTCAACGCCCTCTCCAAGCATATCCAGGACTCTGGTGTCATCCAGCATATCCAATAAACTGGATACACATTCTCAACATCAACGTTTAATAAATATATGCATTTAAATTTTTTTTTATTTAATTTTAATTTTCATTTAAAGTTTGTAAATTACAGCATTTTTTTTAATTCATGTCTACGTTAAATAAATAACTATTCAACGACCTTTTTTAATAGGAATATAATATAACTAATTTGGGTATGTTTTATTGATACTTTTATATTTACTATAGAACACTTTATTGATACTTTAAATGGTAGATATAAAAATCGTTATATCTTTATTCAAAATCTTAGTATTTTAACGTATACCTTGCCGATTAACATTACTTTGTTTTTTAGGTCATAGCTATTCCATCTAGAGACGTATCATCTGTAACGTGGGGAGGTCCAAATTTGGATATATTATTCGTCACCACGTCTAATAGAAACTTATCTCCTTCTGAAAGAATTCAGTATCCAGCTGCTGGTAGTGTATTTGCTGTTACTGGTCTAAACTCCAAAGGGTTTGAAGCTAACACTGCAGATATTATTGACGAATTACCCAAAAAGAAGGTAAATGTAAACGTATAAAGTCATAAGAAGTGATTAGTTAACACTGTTATAGTATTATTACTAGAGTTATAAATGTTGCTACTAAGTTTTGACACACTTATTTATATTCGTTGTTGTGTTATGATAAACGGACTTATTTTCTTTAAAAAAAAGAAATTTATCTTATAACCTATTTATTATATACCCTATTTTATTACCCTAACTTAGCAGTATATATTATATTTAGTGTGTTCTTAAATCTCGTAGCATCTTGTTTCTGCACCGCTTACTTTGTGGAACCATATTCTCTTCTTCGAAATGAAACAGTTGGATATTAAACTGTCCTTCTTTTTTATTAACGCTGCTTTAATGGTTAAAGTTAAATATACCTAAATAAAATAGTCTAAGTCTTGGCCTGGTCTTCTACTTTAATACAAAAAATATATCAAGTAATGGTAATAAAAGCAATTTTCAGAACCTTTTTTTCACAGCATAGGTAATGGTAATCTCATATATAATATAAAATAATAATAATATAAAATTAAGAATGGTGATTACAAACTACTAATTTTGTTATTTGGCAAGTGTTTCAACTTTTAAAAACTAAATTTTCCTTAAAGTTTTGCTCAGATTCAACACGTAACTTTATCTTTCGTTTTAGCAATCAAAATATGTAGAAATTGGATGTTTTAAACCACAAAACAATTACTTTTTTGGGAAAGGTGTAATCATTTAGTGGATTAAATGTATCCTTTTTATTTAAATCAATTGTCAAATTTGCTAAAAATAACACAACTAGCATAGTGTGGTATATATCAGTCTATCAAATTTTCTGAACACGAATACTATTTAACTTTAAATAAAAATGTCAGATTTAATGTTTGTATTGTAGTATTATGTTTCAAAACTTAGTAGACGCCCCATTCGAACTATTTAACAACGATTGAAAACATTTATACTTTTGTTTAAACTTTAATATAGTAATATCTATATATTACACAATATACAGATATGGTTGTTCAATATTTTTTAACATTAATAATATCAACATGATTGAATGCTGTTAGGATTCAGACGTCTTAACAATGATTATTTTACAAATCACACAAAGAGACGATTTTTTTTTTCATTTAATTTTGTTTACTTTATTTAATTTATTTTATATTTCTTTATTTAAACCGAAAGATGGAGAATACAGATTCCTTAAACTATTATATATGAAATGAAAAAGACAGCAAAGATTAAATTTCACGTACAAAGTGTCTATGTATCTGTTTATACGCATTTCGGCCTAATAGGCCTCATCAGAACAGCTATTCATAGGCGTTCTCAACCTGAAAAATAAATCTTTTCTGTCTTTAAGAAGCAACATTAAAATGGCTTAGATATGGGCGTAATCGCGACATCTAATAATAAATCCGTAAAATAGTTTTCGAAACCAATTCAGATTTCTGCTCTAATCTGAACCTTCTAAAAATTGCAAGGTAAACAGACGTTGATAGCGAATTGGTTTCTTGTACTCATACAGAGTAGATCCGAATAAAATGAAAAAGACAGCAAAGATTAGATTTCACGTACAAAGCGTCTATGTATCTGTTTATACGCATTTCGGCCTAATAACAAACATCTTTATCAACGTCTGTTTACCTTGCAATTTTTAGAAGGTTCAGATTAAAGCAGAAATCTGAATTGGTTTCGAAAACTATTTTACGTATTATATATGAGTACTCCTGAGAGTTATTGAGACTGTTGTCTAGTAACCCTGTCATTATTTATTTATCGTATGGCATACAATAAGAACACAGAATTAAAAAATCAATATAAAACGTTACATGAAGTATTACAAACGAACATCTAATGTATTATTAATATAATGTAAAACATTTTCGGTCGCATTCAGGAACTCATCGAAAACTCCAAGGAATCGCCTTCGGGGACATTCTTCAACAAGGTCACGGACGGTCTGTCGTTGCGCACCACAGTCAGACTCAGGAGTAAGGGCTTGTTCCCATCTATATAAGCTGTCAGCACATCTACCGCTGCTTATTCTTATTCTGTTTAGCGTTGTCCATGTATTGCGGGTAAGTTCAAAGCCTGGCGGTTTCTGATCGATACAGGCCATTTGATGTGCTTCCTGTGGTGAGTCGCTCTTCCATTGTGTTCTTCAAGCTTTGGTCAGGTTAAAATGTTCTTGATGTAAGGAGTTGGCTCTTAGCAATGGAGGATATCTGGAGCGCAGTCCGTTTATTTCGATATCAAGCTTATATTGGTGTATGGGTAGTTGATGGTTAGCCTCAATTTTTCGATATTCTCTGAGAAGAGAATGACTTCTTCGCAGTTTCGGCGGTTAAATGTGACTCAGAATGGAAAGCCAATAGTTCGGTGTGGGTCTAATTGTACCAGAGATCATTCGCATTGTCTGGTTTAATTGAGTGTCAATAATCTTTGTGTGTTTGCTATTGAGCCATACCGGGGAAGCATATTCAGCCACCGAGTATACAAGTCCGAGAGCGGATGATCTGAGTACGGAGGCTGATGACCCCCATGTAGTGCCACATAGCTTTTGGACTATATTATTTCTCGTTTTCAGCTTTGCTGGCGTTCTTTGAAAATGTTCCTTAAAACTCAATGTTCTGTCCAGAGTCACTCCAAGATATTTTGGTGTCGAGTTATGAGTGAGCAGTCTGTTTTCGAAGTGGATGGAGAGTTTTTTTGTTGGCTTGGGCAATATTTAGATGGAAACAGCACATTTCGGTTTTCGTTGCATTAGGCCGTAGCCTCCATTTGCGAAAGTATTCTCCCATATTGGCAAGGTCATCCGCTAATATTGTTTCTGTGATATCCATGATATTATGTCTTGCTGCAATGGCCCAATCGTCAGCGTAGCCAAATTTCAGCGAAGTTGTCCTAGGTAGGTCCGCGATATATAAATTAAACAGTAAGGGTGCCAAAACAGATCCCTGTGACAGTCCATTGCTGAGCTTCATTTGGAAACTTTTTGAATTGTCTATTGTGACTTAAAAAGGTCTGTCGGTGAGCATGTTATCAATGAGTTTAGTTACCTTTTGACACGGGACGGCACGGATTAGTTTGCAGATTAGTCCTTGTCTCCAGACAGTATCGTATGCAGCTGATAGGTCAATGAAAGCAACAGATGTTTTTTGTTTTCTTTGAAAACCAGCTTCAATATGTGTTTGTTAAGGATAGGATCTGATCTGTGTAGCTGCGGTTAGGTCTGAATCCTGCTTGCTCAATAGGTATAAATTCAAATACGTTTCTACTAATTCTGTAGTAGATTAAGCGTTCCAACAGTTTATAAACACAGTTCAGCAAAGCAATTGGACGGTAGTTTTGAGGCTGATTATTTGCCTTTCCTGGTTTTAATATGGCTATAATGGACGCCTTTTTTAATGAATGGAGGATTTCTCCCGATTTTAACATATCTGTATAGAAATCAGCCAGCCATTTCCTAGCATATTTGCCACAGTGGAGTAAAAATTCTGGATGATTTTTATCGGAGCCGGGTGCCTTTCCAGACTTAATTTCTGATTTCTGAAATAATTTCTTCTGGAGTAAACACGTCAGAATATTCAGAAGCAGGCGGGCATGCAGACTTTAGTATTTTAAGTTCTTGTTTGACCTTGGTGGTGTGATCACGATCTCTAGGTGCTCTTGAGGTTGCTACAATGTGGGAGGCCACTCTATTTGGAGCTATTGGTACTTTTTCTCTAGTTGGGAGGCTACTACTACCAAGTTTTCTAAGTAAAGACCATGCTTTTCTGCTTGATTTACTAAAGTCTAATTTTTCCACAGTTTCCATCCATTTTTGTCGTCTGGCTGCATCCAAACTGTGCAGTAATTCGTCCGCAATTTCTCGATCTTGGCTTTCGTTGTATTTCTGATACAATTTCTGGCATTTTTGATCCCATCCTGGGACATACTCTTTACGATATCCTCTGGGTATAGTTTTCTTCGCTGTAGAGATAACCGCGCCAACAAATCTCATGTAGTTTGAACGTGTTGGGGGTATCCATCCCAGACATTTGTCCAATCTTTCAGTAAAAGTGGTCCAGTCTGCTTTTTAAAAGTTCCATCTAGGTCGGGGAAAAGATTATATTATTGGTATTTTGATGCCAATTTTTATTATAACTGGTCTATGTTGGCTATGTGGAAAATCTGTCAATACTGTACGTGAAGCTGCCAGTGGTTGATTGTTTTAATTTGTGGAAACAAAACATAGGTCTGGGTTATATTCTCGCCTCCAGGCTGCAGATCGAAAAGTTCAACGATCTTTAGCATCAAAGACTAAATAAGTGTCAACCTCTTCTCTCCAGTTTATTAGAGCCTCGCCGTTTTGATCATTGTGCCTATACTTCCAGAGTTCATGCTGACTGTTGAAGTCTCCCACATAAACTGAGGGGTGTGGGTGGGCGTGAATAACATGCGAAGGCCACAGGACTGCCGGAGGTTTATAAATATTGCTGACAGTAATTTCGCCAATTTGTATAGTAACCGTATGAATGTTTGAACCGTATGAATTTATGTCTGATGTAGAACGTATGTATGCATTTTCTATTTTGTTTCGAACATAGGTTGCCACTCCATAAGCTGGATGGTAAGTTGCACCCAATAAATCATAGCCATGAATTCTTCCTCTAGCGAGAATGTGTTCTTTATTTTCTACATGGGTTTCCTGAATTGCGACCACGTCAATATTATTTTCAATGAGTACCTTTTGAAGGTACTCACATTAACTTCTACTAGTACCTTCTATATTTAAATGGCAGATTCGGATGCTTGGTCCGAGTCCTTTTGTCGCTTGGTCCTGAGAAGGTCCATTTAAATTGTTGGTTGGAGGCATATCTTATATTCGTGATGTGGTCTTGCCAGGAGATCTAGAAATTATAGATTTTCTGGCTGCCTATTGCGCTAGTTCATTTAGCATTACCCAGGGTGCACGTGTAGTATTCTACTACGGACGCGAGCTAGCTTTACACCCCACTCATCATATCTGCTTGAAT